CTCTGGAGACATTCAAACCCACCTGGACACGTTCCTGTGCAACCTGCTCTGGGTGGACCTGCTCTGGGAGGGGGTTGGACTGAATGATCTCCAGAGGTCCCTTCCAACCCCATGGGATTCTATGATTCTGTGAGAGGATGACAAAGATGCAGCAGGAGAGACCATCACACAAGAAGTGCTTAAGGGACTGGCTGTTTCTCGAGCAGCCTTTTTATTTTCATTACTATCCAAGAGGTAGCTATGAAACTGAGCAATGACAATATGAACCAAACGTTTTGCATGTGCTAGAGTATCTTTAAGCAGTCTAGTACAGATACTAGAAAATACAGACACTGCTCAAAAGCATGACTGGATTCTTACCTTCATCTATGTTATAGTAACTAACTAGAGCCTGTCAGCATCTCATTTGCAATGCAGTCTTTTTTTTCTAAAGCATTATTAAAATGGATCAAAGAAGTAAAATTAAACTAAACGTTAACACCAAGTTAAAGTACAAGCTTGACTCGATCCCCTCTTTGATAGGCACCTTCCCTTAATACTAATATATAGTAACTTGATACTGTCCAGTCTGTGGAATGAGTTAGTAGATTCCCTAATTCAGTCCAGTTCACAAATAGAAGTAATAGAATAGTAATAGAAGAACTAAACATCTTCACAATCTTCATCATATGTAGAAGGAGTCTTATTAACATAATTCAACTGTGTGACTGTTTGCTGAGATTTGAAAGAGATCAGAAACACAGAAATGGGAAACACGGGTTCCCAAATGTGCCAGTAAGAACACAGGACATGGAATTTCAACTTGGGAATTTAATGAACAAACACAAACTGGGATATGTCATTGTTTGCTTTAATAAATGTATGGAACAAGGATGAATACAAAAGTATTTAAAAAAAAAATATCTGAATTATCAAATTTTACTTCATGTAGTACAGTGGAGCCACAGGAGTTGATTCCCTTGCTCTCAGCATATTTACATATCAATCCAGAGCTTTTTTATGCAGACAAAAACAGCTCTACAACTGACCTGTGTGCTTCAGAATCTCTTTAGGCATATTCACGTAATGAAAGCAAGCAGTTATTTTCATCAGGATTACTATGCACGCACCTGAAATATCTGAGGTGGGAAGCAGAAGTGCCTCCCATCACTTCAGACATCAGACCCTGAAAATGCTGTCCAAAAATCTCTGAATTGTTTTCTTTACTTTTCACCCTGTAAAAATCAAGCCCATCCATTGAAAACTAGCAAGCTAAAAGATGTATCTCTAAAAAAAAAAAAGATTAAAAAAAAAAATCAATCATCTTCAAGCTAATTTTATAAAGATTCTACTGTCAAAAAGTCAGCATATAAAATGGAGGAGCCGCCAAGAGCTTGTTGATGTTTTCTGGCAGCAGTGCTATTTAAGCCTGCTCAGATATTTGCCACCCCCTCCCCCTTCCCTTCCAAAGTGTTTGCTGGGGCGCCCTTTGCTCCCACCCGTGCTGTGACAGCACAAGTACCGTGATGTGGACAAGAAAATCCCACAGATGAAAAACAGCCCAGACAGAAGAGTCCAAGATATTTTTTAGCCCGAGCACTTCCTTATCCAGTTCATTTTCTGGCTACACAACAGTCTTGTGCCAACACAAGTTAAGGAACACTTTGTTATTGGCCCTGAATATTTATGCTGGCACTGCTGCCAAAAACTTGGTGAAATTTTACCCTTAGGGTTTACATTAAAGATTTCCTTTCTGAAATGTCCATTTTAAGATTTCTCTTCCTGCTCAAATCTTCTCACTAGTAGATGGAATATACTTTATGAAATTTAGAGCCTTTACTTCTGCAAACACCTTGAACTGACAGACCACAGCAGATGCTGTACTGCAGTCTCAAAGTAAAATCTGTAGGCATTTGAAGGACATTACACATCAACCACAAAAAAACCCAAACATGACCACCTACAAAAAAATATTAAAATTAAACCAAAATTAAAATCTGTGCTTACTTGTTTGATTTGATGAAGACGGCTGCTAGGAATACGGATGGGAGATGATGGCACAAACTGCAAAACAAAGCCACATAACAACTGAAACACACTTAGAAACTACAGGAGAGGGAAGAGAAAGGTGCAGGAATGTTAGTAACCACTTTACAGTGGTAACCCACACTAAAAAACGTGGTTTTTTTTTTTTATAAAACACCCCCAACATTCATAACAATCTCATTATACACAAACTACATTAATTACTTTAGGTATTTCCATTTTATACTCCTTTCTTTGCTCACAGATCCTAACTGGTATCAGCCTGGCTTTCACTTCATTTCCAGGCAACTAGAGCTCACAGCCTGCTCCACAGAATGAAGCTGCTTTTGACTAGCACACTGACACCCTTAATATAGAGGGTTGCATAAATATTTTCATTTAAGTGATGCAGAATATTTTCATTTAAGAGATGCATAAGTCGCCCCAATAGATCCTTTAAAAATACAAAGCCAAACCAACCCACTGTGCAAAAAGGTTCCCAGATCATTGTCTGCCTATCAATTAGTACTTTGACAGGTGAAAAAAAAAAATAAATCAGCTATTAGAAGGCCAGCAAAGAGTTAAATACCTTCAGAATCACAGAATTACAGAATTAACTAGGCTGGAAGAGACCCTCGGGATCATCGAGTCCAGCCACCAGTCCAGCCACCAGTCCAGTCCTTCCTTATGGTTTCTCAAGAGTTTCACCAATTCAGGTGAAATTAAAGATGACATCACTAAAAATGGTCTTCTAATTTCTTCAGTTTTGCATCAAGATCTCACTGAAACGCTATGATCTAAAACTGCATACTCAAAGCTAACTATTAAAAAGTCATTATTTTCTTGCACTATCATTTCCTTTCATGTATTTCCCACCCCTCAAATGTTTGAACCGCAGTCGACTTTTGTTCAGGGATGAAAAAAATTCAAAGCTAAAGTCTTGAATAGAGGTTTGAACTACTCTGTAAGCTGACAGCCCCTCCAAAACACAAGGTGCCTTTTTCTAAATGGATGTGTGTTCAGCAAGTAAGGTCTGCATTATTATTAAGTGTTTATCTACTGCATAAAGTGCAGTATGAGGCTTCATCCTCTTCCAGCTCTTCATTACGCTAAAGTTGGGGAACTAACAAACATTCAGTTAACCATTTACTGCACCATCTTCTAAATCAGTGCCAGGGAGACCACAAACATTTTGCTGTCTTACACACAAGGTTATGGTAAGTTATCACTGACTATTAATGCTTCACATATCCAGAATCCTCCCTCTAAAAAAACAAACATCAAACATCACGCCCTTTTTCTCACCAAAGATAGAAGCCCACCAGACTCACACAGGGGCTGTATAATGTTTGTGCCAGAACTTAGTCATAATCCATACTACTTAAGGCTAATGGCTATGTCTTGATTTGTTACTTCTGAAGTCCAGTTTAGGTGAGCTTTACTGTTATATCAGGCTCCCAAAAATCCTGTGCACCTAGTAAAAATTCCTCCAAGCTGTACCTTGAGCTGACCTTGATTCTCACACAGAGAAAAGGATGTGGACAGTAGTACATTCCTGCCTATTCACTCTGCCACTCCACAATAGAAATGCATTTGTTTCACTCATATTCTAATTTTATGACTGTGATCCCCATTCTTTAAGGTCTGACATGAATAGAATATATATGGCTCACAGTGTAAAACAAAAATTTTAAAAAGGTAGTTAAGTGTTCCTCTGAAATGGGCACAAACTTGAATGTAAGAAATTCCACCTAAACATGAGGAGGAACTTCTTTGCTGTGAGGGTGGCAGAGCCCTGGCAGAGGCTGCCCAGGGAGGTGGTGGAGTCTCCTTCTCTGGAGACATTCAAACCCACCTGGACACGTTCCTGTGGGACCTGCTCTGCAGGGGGTTGGACCAGGTGATATCTGGAGGTACCTTCCAACCCCATGGGACTCTGTGATTCTGTAGGATCTAACGCACTTCCTACATCCATTAACTCTGAGGATCCTACATGCCGTCTCTAACAAGTCACGACCCTTGTTTTGTCAATGCTTCAAACTCACTTTTTCCTTGTTTGTAGTCATTTGATTTAATTCTTGTGAAAAGAAACGATCAGAAGCCTCGGGCACTTTTAAAAGATACTTACTAAAGCAGACCACACACTTGTTAAAATTATGCTACCTAAATCCCCAACATTTTAAGAAAGCGCAGAGCTTAATAAAAAAACATTAAAAACTATGACACTACACGGAAGAGAAACAGCTTCCCCTTGCTCCCTTCTCCTGTGTAATCCTTTCCGCTGCAGGAACAGCTTCAGCAGAGCCAGACTGGCAGGCAAGCACCTCGGGGGCAGCAACCCCTGGGGACAGCCCTTCCACTGCCCCCTCTTTGCTGCCACCACGAGCATCTCCAGGGCCACGCTGAACCCAACAGGGAACGTACCTGGCTTTAAAAAATAAAAATTAAAACCTAATTTTTTTAAAAAAAATAATCAACTTTTGCTGAAATGGTACCTAAACATTTAACTGCAGACTAAAATGCTTTGCTCAAACAACGAAACTAAACCCCCAACCACCCAACCAAAACAAAAGCCACCAAAATATTCACTCACTAGGATGCCACTGATACCTTCTGGAAGGAAAAAAAGAACAATACTGAGCCCAGCTGACCCTTCCCTGGCAGCTATATGTAGTGTCAGGGAACTGCAGACTAAGCCCCAGCCAAAATGTAGCCATCGTTATAAAAAAGTTGGAGTCAGACTTTGAGAAGCCGCTCAGAAAAGATGTTAGAATTCAGCTGAGCAACAGGACAGCCCCAACAGCCCTGAGGATGGAGCTAAACAGAGTACGACCTGCAGATACAGAGCATTTCAGCAACTCCTGTTGTTCCCATGGCAGTGAACACAACACAGATCACATAAATACTCATCAACTTTTTTCCACAAAGTTTAATGAAACATAAAATTTTAGCTGTGCTTATAATACTAAATTAACAAAGTTTCAGTCACTTACTGAATCTTTTCACTCTCTTTATTAGAGTTTACACTGCAATAAAGCTTGGATTAGTCTTCCTAAATACAAAAAAGTGTTCTTTGAAGTATACACTTTATCACCTACTTATTGTACAACTTCCTTTACCGAAGTAGATATCATCTAGCTCCTCAGAATATCTCTAACATCACAAAACTACACTTACTACTTCACTACAGCAAGAATATCAGGTGAGGTTGCTTAGGCTCCTTAATACTGAAAATTTAATTATTTTCACAAAATCATTTATCTATGGGTGATCATGGTTTAAGACCACAAAAGGATGAGATAATGTCTGTGTTGCTTTCCCATTTCATCTTCCTGCCATCTTCAACAGAACCAAAAACCAGACCATAATTTGAAGAAATACTTCAAGATGGACAGGGCACTGATCCAGCAGTCAATGGAGCAACTGATTTCAATTATACTTTATCAGCTACCTGGTCAGCTGGTGTTGAAGAAGAAAGTTAACTTTCAAGATGCTTTTTAACAACCTTCAGGTGAGGTGAAGAGTTAAGGACATGGTCCCATGCAGCTGGGAACACTGGTTCAGCCCAGAAGACTGCAAGGTCTATTATGGCAGCCGGAAGAGTTAGCCCCTCAGTGAACAAACTCCTGCTTCCCAGCAAGCACAGGGCAATTAGCATCATCTTTTTTGCCCAACAATAGAGGATCTTCAAAAAGTAAACAATAAACTGAGCTTTTGCCTTTGTTTCTCCTTTTGTACGACCGTAAGCATAAACAAATTTACCCTGAGCTGCCACCCTAAAAATATATATAAAGAAAAAGACTGTTGTTTAAAGAGATCTTTACCATAATGTTTTCTCTCAGGTTTTATATCCTAGCAGGAGAAAGGCTTTTCAACCAATCTTTCTAGACTTCTACATAAGTATCTCGGTTCTGTTACAGATGCAAACCTTTGCTGAAGTTGTTGTCCATCCTGATTTTAAAACAGAATTCTAGCTACAGGGCATCAGTCAGCCAAACAGGAGAGCAGTATTCTTCAACTATTAACAAATTGTTTCTAAAGCATCTTCAAAAGGTAACCAAGAAAACCCAGATAATTGTTGTTAGCATTATGGGGACTTTGTGTACTTGAAAGAAAAATGATACTACTCCCCTCCCACCCTAACATAGCTTATTTTTTCCAAAATGTTAATAACGAAGTAAAAGCACCTGGACACTATCCTGTGTCTACCTGTTTCTTAAGGCTTTAGTGGGGGAAAAGTTACATTTCTGATTACATGTGAAAGTCTGACCAAAGATTCCTTTCAGTTAGAGGAAATAACTACCTCACGCACCCTAACCCTTTAAGGGTCAGCAAACCGTGCTGTGTGGTCCTGTGCCATGCTCTAAATCAGTCCAAATCACACCCTTCTAGCACAACTTGTACGATACTAAAACAAGATACGCAATATTTTCTTTGGTCTTAGACTAATATTTTAAAAATTCAGATTTGGGGAGTTGCAATAACAAGAGTCAGAGAAAAGTTGAAATCACAAATGAACGCCTCAAAGAGATACAGAATCATCCACCCTGGAAGCCTCAAGATTCGTATTCTATCAGTTATATCTTGTTATAATTAATTGCGAATTACAAGAGCCTATTCTGTCGTCACTACAGAAAAGATAACATCAGAACATCACTACACTTTAAAAAAAAAAAAAAGAAATGATTAGCACACTGGTTACTGAACAACACATCCATGTAATTAGTTCTGCTTGTGAGCTACTTTTCTAACTATGACTTAGAACATCTGCTTGCATTTTATAAACAAAGTTAAAATCAAAAATAAATATAAGTATTGTCCAAAGCCAAGTGGTCTATAAATAACATTTCCTTATAGCTACAGCATATTAATGTCACAGTCTAGAGCTCTGTTTCTGTAAACCTGTGGTACTAGCTTCACAGAACGCAATCTAGTTTTCGTCTTTAACCTGTTTGCACACTTCTGCTCTGGACCTAATGCGGTTGGTTTAATAGTTTTCTTACCAGACTGTGACGATTCATAACCGTGGTGCTGTTCCTGCGGGTTCGCAGAACGTTAGCCTGGAACACCTGTGAGTTATCGCTGTGAAAAGAAACACTTGTCAAAGGCAAAAGCCATTTCCTTCCTATCAAAAAGCACCTGCTCATACAAGCTCGGCAGCAAATGCTACAACAGTGATCGTTTCAAGACAAAGCGCTTGAGAGCAGGTACGTAAGAACTCTTTTAGCTTGTTGGCAGAGAGCAGAAACCAAATTGCTCTTCCCCCAAGTCCCAGCTACTTCAGTTAATGGCTTTAAGTAATCACATTAAATCTTCAGAATAACTGGGAAAAAAAAAACAACAAACAAACCCAAAATGTTAAAACTGATCATTTCTGTGGGAATTTATGGTGTTGGGAATGGCTGCAGCTTGCATATTGGTTCAAATGGCATTCAACAGAGTAACTGAAACCAGCTTCAATGTCATACATAAAACAGAATTAAAAAAAATACAGTAGCTTGATAAATCTTATCACTACAAACATTTATCAAGTTCTCTACTTTTTTCCAGGAGAGGTTAAATTAAACATACAGTAAACCCAGTTTTTAAAGCCCTAAGACTTTTGACCACGGTCACGTTTCTGACAAGGAAGCAGTGCATCCGTTTAAATAAAGCAGGATTAGCTATTTGATATAAAATGAGCTCCTTTCCCAAGGCAACTTTAGTTCTATTGATTCCTAAAGCAAGTTTCAGTGGCCATCGCTAGCGTTAGCAACAGCCATGGATCAGCACTTAATGAATGAGACTACAGAAATTAAGTTTTACGGTCACTAGAATAAAAATTTTGAGCCATGATCCTGCAATCCCAATGCCTAAAAATCACTGAGGAACTGCACAGGCAAACAGATCCAAATGCAAGATTGTAATTAAATCCGAATTACAAGAAGTCACTGGGTCATACGTTTTTGCCTCAGCTGCTACCCTGGGATGAACAAAAGCACTACACAAATCCAATTTCTCGAAACTAAACTGAAAAATAGTATTACCTTGTTCTAAAGGCTAATAATCATAATGCACTTTTAAAGACATGTCACTAACAGTCCTCCCGTTTAAAATGCACAAACACGTAAGTTTTAGATAGCTTTTATCTAGCTGTAAATAAAAGATAAACAAAGCTTATACCCTGAAATAAAAGTGAACAGGAATTGCCAAAAGCACTGCGCTTTTCACCACAAAGAATGCTCTTCCTCTAGAACGTCAAATACAAATGACCAGACACCATTTACAATTTTCAAAGCAGTTTCACTCAGGTCCCACAAGAGATCAAACAGTTGCTGTTTGACAGGCAGCAGAACTGGAGAAATTTAAGAAATCCACGATGTAATGTTTAGAGGAAAGATTTATGCTGAGGCCAACAGCTACAAAACTCCTTTTTAGTGTAAGTGTACTGGCTGGTACACACATCCAACACAAACAGTACATCCTGAAATCCAGGGTCTGAATGGAGAAAACAGGCTGGAATGATTCTGTAAAACATTACCACGGGCTGAGTCCAACATTCAGTGCTAAATAGGAGAAGAGAGGGAAAGAAAAAAGAACCCACCCTGCAATATCCTTACCTTTAATCTCCCTTGAAAAAATACCAGAGCTGGTCCAGTCTTAGACTCACCTTTCACAGAAAATTCTTACAGTTCCCATTAAAAATCAATTTTATTTGGCATGAAAACGAGAATCAGAAGTTCTATGAAAGGTAACTTTTGTGATCTAAAATACTCCACTTAAAAATGTTCTCTGGCTCTATGGTAACTCATTCTCCAAGCTCCTTACTAAATCTGTTAATGAAGAAGTCAAAACAGGAGGCAGAGTAGAAAAAGCAAGCTGTTTGAGAGCAAGAGCTTTTGTTTCAGTTTACCCAGCAAAGCCATTCTGGAAAAAATTGGAGTTTCTTGCCAAGAGTTGCAATCTTGCAAAAAGATTTCTGCTGGAAAATTCCTAATGAACCTGCAAAGTGCTGCAATCACCTCAGATCAGTTCGATGGCATTTCAGTATAATTTGTATAAACCCCTAATGTACAGTGCATGCAGAGTTCCAAGGCAAGAGCTCATGCTTACCCTTCTACCTGCCCAGGCCCTGAAATAAATGATTTATTTCCAACATGAGTCGGGGATGTTGCTTTTTCTGTTCTTTTTTGTTTTAAAGAGTCAAGGGTCTCAAAGTTTGTAAGAAACAAAAGGCTAAGATCTTAAAAACCTCGTCTCAGTTACACGAGGAGTTTATCTGCTCAAAAATCTCCCTGAGGAACAGCTACCACTCACAATACTTCTATACTGCACAGAAATGTAAACCGATAGTTGTTTCATTATGTAAAAGAATTCCAACTGTGTTCACTCAACATTAAACCACAACCAAATAGGCGAGAATTAGTATTTTCGCTGTAATATAACTGTTCACCACTCTGCTACAAAAGATTTATGAGATTTGTTTGCCACTTGACATCTAGTTCCTTACAGAAACATGAAGTTTAAGGAAAAAAAAAACCACCAGCCAGTAAGTACTTCTCATGTATTACACTATCTTTTATAAAGTTTATTGTGAATATGCTCTCCTGAACTGCAGAGATACTACTGGTAGCAGCACATGGATCCCCCTGAAGTTAGATGGCAGCCACACCACGTAGCAGATGGGGCATCACCCAACATCATGACAGCCCAGAGAAGGCAAGAAACAGCACTCAGAGTTATCAACTCACTCAAACACAAAACCAATCGACAGACCATGCATACCCGAGAGCTCTCCTCCCAGGCCTTGCCTGAGGTCGCCACTGTCCCTGCCCTGTCAGACCGGACCTGGAACACATGGAAAAGGTCCAACTCCCCTTGCAAACTCCACAGGCTGCTGGCAACTCTCAAGCCAACAGAATTGGTATGGTCCGGCAAAACTTCAGGACAACTCATACATTTTTTTCTGAAAGCATTTACTGCTGTAATCGTACACAGTGCAGTCATTTATTTTTTTTACCAAACTTGAACCACTACAGAAAGCTCCCGCCATCCCCTCGACGCCCAAACCATCACGGCGGGACGGGCGGTGAGGAGCGACGCCCGGGGCTGGGACAGGGGACCCCGGCTCCCTGCACAGCGGCGCCACCGAGCTCCCCCCCCGCCGGGCCGGGCGCTGCCGCCGGGGCTGC